TGGCAACACTGCTTTTGAATAATTCAGTACAAGCTAGGTCACTAGATGGTATACTGGACGTTAAGCAATAATGTTCTACTGTGTCATGACATTCAAAAGTGGCATTATATTTGTTGATAACAGCTGCACAGTTGGCCAGTTATCGCAATAATGACCTGGTGAATCATATGTCACTGTATTGATATCCAACTGATGACACTGAGATGGGTTAATGCTACTGCTGATAATCTGCACTACAGCTGCGTGATGCAACATTAGCTTCACACTGCCAGGACAAGCTGCTTCACTGGATTCAGAGTGCTACAGTGATGAGCTCAAAACAATGACTGCATGCAAAAGACAATACAAAGAAAACTCTTCACAGGATGGCCCTAGTCGGTTGGCAGGATGTGTGGTGACACTGTGTCACTGTGCTGTCCTTATTAGTAAGTAACTGATATTACTGTTCAAGTTTCCAACACACAAGCAACTGACTTTTAGCTAACAACCCACAAACTTTGTTGTGGGCTTTAAAGACTAACTTCAAAGGGCCTGATAAGGAGGACAGCAGACAGATATCTCATGACAGGAAAATTACTAAGGATGGTTTGACAAAGGATGTGCTGCGAAGCTGAGACTAAATCTTACACTGCTACCTACTTGTAAGCATGAATCGCCTTTCATAAACAAGATGTTATCATAATGTTTTCTTTTCATTCTTTTCTGTAACTATTTTTCCTCAGTGTTCGTCTTCTTTATACAAATCTCTGCAAATCAAAGAAGTGACTTCAGAGCTGTTTTTGATTGTTGGCTCTTCTAAATGAGGGGCACCCAGCCTTTGTACACTTCAGATCTACTTTTACATTTTTTCAGCATCACAAGATCTATCAGTCCCAAATTAGCCTCAGTCCCATGATGAGTTCAGGGTAGCTACACATTTTCATGGACAAAATTTCCATGACTTTCTAAGGACCCATAATAATTGTTGTTGGGTTTTTTTTTTTTTTTGCTCCACTTGCCCAGCACATCTCAAACATTTTAGATTCAAACTCTATTTGACTATAATTTCAGTTAGCTGGCATACCTGAAGGGAGAGACAGAACATGCAGAGAAAATGGAGAAACGTATATGATGGTAAACAAAATGTCACCCATTGACTTATATTATAGCTACATAACATCGACATCTACAGGCAATAAATATGACGTTATACATTACATGTAAGGTTATCCACGGAAGATTACATAACATTTTCATCATACAAAACAAACTTCTAAGACTTTTCCAAAACTTTCAATGATTTTACTAATTCCATGACATTCCCAGACCTGGAAATTGCAACTGTGAAATTCCATTAATTTTTTACTTTGGGAACTCTGAGTTGAACAAAGCTACTTATATACAGCAGACATGTTTTATATTTTGGAAAAGGGATTAAACATCTTTAATGGGCATTGGGAGAAGGATGTTAGATTCTCATAATCAGGGGTGTAGCAGCTGGTGGCAAGTCTCAAGCAGGCGGATAGGTGGTCACCTGTCATGGTGGATCGGAACTTGGCCTTTGTGGGTTTTTATGTGGGAGAAGGCAGATTCACAAAAGTGGGTGGATCCAAATAGGGCTGACAGGCAAAAAAAGCATATCTTCTTACATTAGGATACATCTCTTCTGAGAGCAGGTGCCAAAATTCACCCTTTATGTCACCAGTAGCTGCCCTGGATTTCACCTTAACGTCATCCTGAAGGGTGAGAATTTAGTGTCCAGGAGGAATAGTGTTCCCACTTTGGAGGTAATATCACCCACATCCCGAGTGATGCAAAGTCTGTGAAACGGTTTTCAAACTCAGATGCAATGCTCTGAACTTGTTCAATGTAATGGGCACTTTCGAGTTGAGCTGCATCATTGCCCTGACATTCGAGTTCTGACTGCATGTTTTGAAAGTAGTGCAGGTCCTGGTGCTGCAGCTTGGTTGAAAGCAGCTGTAGTTTGAGCTTATAAGTGTTCAAAATGCTAGTTCAGTCAGTGAGAAACATTAAGTCCATGAGCAACTGCTTGTCATCAAGCTCTGCATACAGTGCACCTTTAGACTGCCTGAGAAACTCTCTCACTTAAGGCAACAGCTTGCAAAATCTCACCAGAAATTTGCCATTCTTCAGCCATCACACGTTGGGCTTCATTATCTTCCACCTGAGCCTGGATAGCCTCCTTGAAAGGCTCCTCTTACAAATGATATTCACAGTCTTCGTGTTAACTTCCATCACATCTCTCATGTTCAACACCCGCCATTTCAGGTGCTGCATCAGTGGTAACGGAGACTAGTTTAGAAATAGGCAGGAAAATATCCTCTTCTCAAGTACATCCTTTCAGAGGGAAAATGTCCAGTCCAGTGTCCAGGGCACTCATGTTGTTGAACATGTAAATACACAACAGTGCCACATGTGTGATGTCTGGACTCATCAAATTGAAGGGAAACACACTCACAACTCTCAAAAGTCTTTTTTTAAGTTTATCCTCAATGTTTTCTGCTATTTCCACACATTGCCATGCTACTGTATTTCGGGATAAGCGAATATCCTTGACAGCTGCCATGATCAGAGTTTTTATTTTTAAAATCTCCAAACAGCCGGTCCACAAGCCCAAAAACGGCCTCGTTCACCATCTCTCCATCTTTGAACGGCTTTTATGTTTCATGAGGATCTGACTCACTCGATACGATGCTGTGGTGGCTGCAGAGCTGGGCAATATGACGACTATGTACATTATATCTATATATTTTTGAGCAAGATATAAATCTGGACAACACCGTTTATATCGATACAGAGTCAAGTTGGGTTACATAATGCATTCCAGTGTTCATCTTTCCTCTCTCACAATCTCCGCACAGCTCCACCCCACTAATTCACTCACATAGTCTCCAGTAACACTAAGAGAGACACTGAGCTGCTACTCTGTTTAATCTGTTAATTAGTCTATAGTGCGACATTGGTGTGTATCTTGCACGTGCTACACTTAATCAAACTTTGAGATGAATGAAATGACTGCAGCAGCACACGTGCAATCCAGCACTGCTAGATTGTGTGGTGATTGTAAACGCGTCGCTGGTAGTCTATTTTAGGACACTGAGACATCGCCTGGATGCAGGCAACAGATGTTTAAATAATGCAGCGACAACACAGGCATTTAATATATAAGAAGTATATAACGCGGACATTGTCTCTCACCCCTTCCCTCCCTTGTCTTCTCTGTTGATGCTATGTGCATAAATAAGATTGATAGTTTAAATAAATCAAAAATAATTAAATCATTTTCCAGCACTAGATTCATTTGAAAGGCCATGGAAAGCGACTTTAACTCCCCCTACAAAAATTTTAATTGTTCCAAGCTACAGCAGATTTAGGCCAACTTGATACTTATATACTTATGTTAAAGTTTTGTGTCCTGTGCTGCAAACCTTAAAACTTGTGTAGCTCCAGTGCTGTGTGCAAAATGTTCATGTACAGCCCTGCCATTTCTTTTATATCAGTTTTCATTTACATGTTGTGCTGCTGTATATTTTCAAACAGGGAAAAAATCCCTGTCTTTGCATTTTATTTTGATCACAGTCTCTTTTTATAAAAGCGCTTGTAACATCTCAAATGCGGCTTTGACTTGCAACTTAAAACATGTGGCCCATTTTGTAGAAAATAATGAGAGATATATCGTGCATCGCCATTCAGCCTGAAAATACCGACATAGGAGTTTTTTTCTAACTCGTCCAGCCCTATGTGTTTGCTTTTCCCATGGTGCTTGGCCTTGTGAAAATGGGCTGCTGTGCTGCTAGTTAAGATTCCAGTTCTTGAGTCTTGAGTTTTTTGGGAGTTTTTGGGAGCCCACCTTTGGCTGGGAAATCTCTCTAGTAGGTTTTGTGTATGGTTTTAAAATGCCGTTTTAGGTTGCCCTTATTTCCTAGAGTGATACAAACTTTGGATAATCCTTTCCATTACATGTAAAAATGATATGTCTTCCAATTGTTATCTGTTCCATTATTTGTTTTGCTACAAACATGCTAACACCACAGGTTAGTCCACGTCTTGCTTTACGGCTTAGCTAGCAGCACAGCATGGCTCAAATTCAGCCTGTCTTCCGCTTTGTCGACGAAGAGCCCATCATGTTACACCTTACCTAGCCAGTAGATAGCATATGTGACAACAAAATAAAACTGCATAGACTGACTGGTTGAATCTAAGAAACTGACACTACGAAGATCTGTGTAGAGAATCGTTACATACGCTCATTACCCAAAAATGATATTGTGATCCACCTGTAAGAACCCCATGATAAACTAGATTTCAGATAACTACATTGCAGTCAGCAACACTGTGTGTTACACTATTTATTAATTCTCTATCATAATCACACATGGTTGCATTTCTCTGTGGTTTTACGGTGAAATCACTCTTTAAGATCTGTTTTCAGTTTGTGTCATTCTATACGTACATATACACTTTCCCAAGCTGAGTCAACATCTCTGACATTTGCTTCTACGAGCACCGCCCTCCGCGGGGGGAAAAAACATAACAAACAGACGATATTTTCGCGATAATAATACAAGTTACATAAACTGCATCCGTCATTTCCAGCTCACAACCTCAATTATGAAAATTCTGGGAGAAATCTGGGGCGTTGGTGGCTTAGTGGTAGAGCAGGCACCCCATGTGCAAGGCTGTTGCCGCAGCAGCCCGGGTTCAAATCCAGCCTGTGGCCCTTTGCTGCATGTCACTCCCACTCTCTCTCTCTCTCTCCCCCCTTCACGCTTGTCTGTCCTGTCACCATAAAGGTTAAAAATGCCCAAAAAATATCTTTGAAAAAAAAAAAAAGAAATCTGCTTTGGTAATTGATTTGTGTTTTCAATATCAGGTGATAGAAAAACACCACTAACACTAATACCTCATGCTCCATTGCAATCTCTGATTAGTTAATACTTTGTAGTTAACACCTACTTTAAGTGTGTGTGTGTGTGTGTACATGTTTGGGCAACACTTACTGATCAAGGGCCTTGTAGTAGAGATCCAGGTCTTTAATGACCAGCTCTGTCGTCCTCATTGTGATCATCTTGTTTTTGTAGCGCTCATCAGCTTTGTCATACTGATCTTCTCGCAGCTCTTTTCTGCAAACAATCGATTCATAGAGGAAGTTCAATTCATGAGAAAGAAATCATGGTATTGATAAAACAAATACCGTTGTAGCAAAAGGCCTGGACATAACCAACAACTACATGTGATTCTATTGTTCGGTAATTGATGAAGATGTTAACAGGAAATCACTTATTTTAGATCCAACATATGGTATATGGTATAATAAAGAACATCTCAGCTGAATCTGGTTTAGCTCTGTACTGCATAAACCCAACAACAGCTCTGCCTATCTCACCTGCATTCCAGTATTGCCTCCTCGAAGCCTTTTTGACGACCCAGCGCAATACTGCGGTTCTTCTTCAACTCTTCCAACTTGCGCTCCGCTTCACGCCGTTCTCTGGACAATCACATGAAGCAAAGAGGTGAAAACACTGTCGCAAACTTCTAATATTACTTCCTGCGTGACCATGAGTAACCTTCACAAGAGTGACACTGCCAAGGGGATAGAGATTGAGGATGTCTTGAAAAGGTAGCCTCTGTGCAGTTTGGCTCCCTTTGATCAAATTAATTGATATTACAGATAATTAACAAGAGTGTTGTGCTCTTACTGGCGCAGCTGCAAGACTTGCATGTTGCCCATTTCTTTCAGAAGAGCCTCACGTTTAGACACAACCTCCTTTAACTCTTCAACACGTTTCCTTAAGGTCAGGTTGTCCTGCAACCAGCGCTCCTGGACCTAAGAGACATACAAAAAGTTATACTTTTATGCTGCCTATCTTCTCTTTGCATCTTTTAAGTGGATGAATTTCCAGAAACTCAGACTCTATGAGGGCCTGACTTGCATCAACAAAGATGGCGGACTGAATTTACAACTTTCTTTGAAAAGAAAAGAGACAAAAAGATGAGAATGAAGACAATAATGACTCATTGGGCTGTACCTTCTGAGTGTCTATGTCCTGACGGATGTTTCCCATCTCCTTGGTTATCTTGTCTTTATGCTTCTCAGCTTCATGCAGCTGAGTGTTGGTTTCTTGAAGCTCAGACTCTTTTTGCTGCAGCAACAACAGACAAAGTCAATGAAGTTGTTCAGTACTTTCAAAAGTGAATAATCTGACACAATCAAAGCCAAGCTTCTGCAGCCAATATCAAAGGAAACAATAGCCCCTTTTACACTGCCAGATTTTTGGCGAATGTTGGGCCGTTTTGCCGGCAAGCTGCAGGCGTTTAGACACACAAAGCCGGATTGGCGAGTTGATCCGAGGTGCCCAGTTTTCGACCTCGTAGGGTAGACATATTGGCGGAACCCTTTTAGTTTAAAAAGACCAAGGAGCTGTTGATGACTTGTGGGAGGAGCTGTTAATGATGCCGCTTGTGCCAGCCACTGACGGTGGATAAACAGGAAACAGATGATAGCAGGAATTAGCAAGCAGCTAGTAGCAAGAGGGAAACACAAACCTCACGGACACTGTAAAGATGAGCAACTGGGGAGACAAGGAATTGCGCACCCCCCTTGCCCTCGCAAATGAAGAGGCCATTAACCGTCAGATGACGGGACGGTGAAGGACGGGCCGACTTATGAGAGAATCGCCAAAGGACTGACTAGCTGCGGCTTCCCTCTCACGTCACTGTTTACGTCACACGCTAAGCTACACGTTTTGTTACTTGCTCACGCCCCCCATTGCCCCGAAAAAGGCGCATTCTGTATAAACAAAAGTAGGTAGGCGGCATTTTGCTGCACTCCCCGATTTTGTTTTTATACTGCCAATGCTGAAAGAAGACTGATTGGGCTTTCCTGCAAATTTGCACAACTCCTATTTAAAAAGGGCTAATGACAAAGAAAAAGGAAAGCTGGTGTTTCAGAGTGAACGAAGACAGCATACATTTACCTTTCATGATAACCATGTGTATGTAATGTCTGTCACAAAATAAGCCATGGAGGTAGCAGAAACATAGATGCATCAAGTATGTTAGTGGCAAACATGTTACCTCTTTGTATTCGTCTTTGCCGTCATCAACATATTTGGTGATGTCTCTTTCCAAAGAGGTGATCGCCTTCACTTTCTCTTTAATGGCGTTGATCTGTCAGAGGCAAAGGGTCAGAATTGTGATTCGAGTATGAGTAATCAGCAGAGGAAGCTTAACACTGCTTTTAATCCATCCTTACAGTTTTTTGTGTTGCCTAATTTGCTGTAGAAATACTTTCAAAGTACACTCTTAACCGCTAACTTCAATAACTGGCTGTGCTTTCTAAAATAACTAATGTTTTGTCATCAAATATATCCAGTGATTAAATGTGAGTGAAACAACAGTTTGTTTCAGAATTATTTGCTGATATCAGTACAGAGAAAGAGTACAGTGATAGAGAGACAAAACTGAGAATGTGTCCACCTTCTCCTGCCCCTCCTCCTGCTTTTGCCTCTTGCGCTCCACCAGCTCCTTCTTCTCCTGTTGCAGCTTCTCCAGAGCTACAGACAAAGGGGACAGCTGTTCCTTCGCTTCCTGGCCGGACACAACGTAATAATAAAAATTCCGATGTGAAAAATGTGCATTGCAGTCTTTATTCAGAGGGTGAACTTGAACTTAAAAACGTGAAGGTGTAAGCACTACAAAAATCTTTATCTACTGTAATTCACAGCTGCCTCTATATCAGCATCTTACACATACAAAAGCAGTAACATGTACCCTGATGTCCCTGGTAAAGGCCTGTATTTCAGTGGTGAACTCGACACACTGCTCCTCAAGTTGCTGCTGTTTCTGCAAATCACTGCTCAGCTGCAGTTTCTCTGCTCTCGTCTCATTCACGGCACTTTTCAGCATCTGAATCTGATCCTGCTGGTCCTGGATCAGCTTACGTTTCAGCTCCATCTTGCTGGAGGCTGCAAAGACACAAAAATTTACAAACAGGCAGAGCCAAAAAGTCTTACAATTGCCTCAAATTTATTCTGTCTTCCATCCATTTAAGCATGCTTCGAGTCTCTGAAAGTTAATTTTATTTCCTTTACTTATATGGCAAAAAACAAAAAATATTGTGGCTTAGAAGGTGCGAAAAACACAATTCCCAAAATTCTGACCCAAGCTTCTACAAAATGGTCACTGTGGTCTGACTTTAAGATGCATACAGTACTGTGAATCTACATCACTGAGATACTTAGCCAATTTTTGACTCAGCTGCCAGTTTATTAGGTACACCTAGCTCAATCTAATGCAGTCTAACACAGCAGTCGTGCAATAAACCCTTCCTTCACGAAGGTTCAAATGTTCTTTTAGTTGTAACTGTTTCAGAGGTGTTGATTCAACTGCATGACCATTTTGGAGGATGTAATATGTGGTGCAGGTGAACTGTATTGCATTACACAGAGAAATGCTTCTGCACTGTCCTGCACTGGGTCAGTACCCAGTGGGTAATCCATTGTGTAAGGGGTAAAAAATATAATAATATCAATTCACAGGTATGGGTATGGAACATACATCTTATTCTAGGCTAAGCTAATATTGTCAAGCCTAATCAGCTGTCAGGACTTTTTTTTTTTTATTATGAAAGCTATGTTCTCACCAACCCAGCATTGAATGCAGACAGTAAAGAGAGCTGTCATCGGCTGGATTTGTGATTCAAGAACACAGGACACAGCTTATATCAGGGACTGTGGATGATGTTCTTTTTCTGCACAGCAATCTCAGCAACATAGATGGTTAATTACGATTTGAATTCATGTCAGATGTTCCAATTGCACAAAAATAGTACAAATAAAGCACTTTAAAGTGAGTGAGTGTATAGTCTGTGTGTTCAGTCACCAGTTGGGTTTATCACTGGTGGGACTTTGATTAATGGGTTGGGTCAGACCCAGATTTGTCTTTGAAAAAATAGTGGGTATCTGATTGACTCCAGTAATGATCTGTATGGGTGGTGGGAACGGATTTGCCAAACCAGAGCCCTGCAGGACTCTGCCTCACTGATATTAATAAAGTGAAAAATACCTATCAGTATTATGTGATCAACTTTAACTTCAGAAGAGAAAATTAAAGCAACACACTGGAGTTTTTGAGCCCTCAAAATATATATCCAAGATCCTTGTGATGGTACATCAACTCACAATAGGTTGGATGACACCTCCGTCATTGATAGAGAGAATCTGTTTCGCTTGCACTGGAACTATGCAGTTTAAGGGTTAAGGTAGGAACCCAAACACAAAAAGGACTACAAAATTTGGCTGCTTTACGGCATAAGTCATATCCTCCTCCTCTCTTTAGAGTAGCACAGCCGAACCGAGGTGAATGAAGTTAGATGTGGCTGTCATGGCTGAAGCGACAAAGAAAAGGAAGAAGGTGAAGGTGTTGTCCGAGGAGGCAAAGAAAAGAAAACGGGAGAGCGAACAAGGATTATTATTGGCCCAGCTTTCACACGCTGGCGAGAGCTGAAAGAGGAGGAGGGATGCCCGACCGATGGTGACCTGGCGCTGTTACTGCTGTTACCCTCTACTGAGGTGACTCACTGTCTGCAGGTCGGCTGCCTCAGGTACATTTTAAGATAAAGTGTTAGCCTACATACAGACAGCTTTCATTTTAGTTTGTCTTTAAAAGTTTGCTGTCAGCACTGCGAGCGCGATGTGCTTGTGTCGACCGCGATCGTAAATCATGATAGTGGTCTCATGATAGAGACTGTGGACAGAGCAGGTTGATATATGGCTTTCTACATGCTGATCACATGTAGTGATAAAGTATTGGCTTGGCTGGCAAAGGTTTTATCGCACTTACAGTAACAAGCGTAGTTGTCGTCAACTAGAGTGATCTTGAAGTTATATTCCCTTCATCTGCATCGAGGCCTCTCTGCTGTTGTCTGACTTCACCCTGTTGTGTTTGTGTGAGTGCGCGCACGCGCTGTGAAGAGGAGGTCAGCCCTGACATGCAGAGAGCAACTCATTTCTGAGTTTCGAAAATGAATAAATAAATAAAGCAATCGGCCTAATCATGTATGTACAAAATGCTATAAGGCTACTTTACCTGTTCTGAAGACATGATGATCACGCATTACACGGCCAGCTGCAGGAAGTTCACCGGTATCTTTAGCTCGTCAACAAATGCACGCACAGAAAGATTTTTGCGACAGTTCTAACAGACAATGCCGTTTTTCGTCTGTAGGGGGACCTCGTGAGGTAAAAAGCACAATCCTCCATTGTGTTGCTTTAAAGGGATAGTGCACGCAAAAATGAAAATTCAGCCATTATCTACTCACCCATATGCCGACGGAGGCCCTGGTGAAGTTTTAGAGTCCTCACATCCCTTGCGGAGATCAGCGGGGGGAGTGGCTAGCACACCTAATGGCATATGGCGCCCCAGACTAAGGTCCAAGAACACAAAATTGAGTCCACAAAGTATCTCCATACTGCTCACCCGTAGTGATCCAAGTGTGCTGCAGCCCCGACATAAAAAGTTGTTTTGAAAAACGTCATATGAACTCTGTTTTTATCCTCACTGTAGCCTGTAGCTCTGACTGCTTCTCTGTGCTCCGCACTCACGTGCGCGCAGGGGGAGACAACAGTAACCACAGTAGCTAAAAGATAATTTGCATTACGGTCTTTTAGCAAAGGACAGCCCAACATGTCTGAAGACTTTGAAACTGAGGAGGAACAGCATTTCTTTGTTGAGCCCTATTTGTTTGAGCCCGAGTATACGGACGGAACTCAGGCTACTGGACGAAGCAGCCGCCGCAGCTCATGAGCCTAACCCTCAGCCAGCCGCAGAATACCGGAGTCGAGCACTGGAAACCTGGTGGTGTCGTTGTTTCAAATGCAAAGCAATGCCAACGGATGAGGAAAGTCTTTGCTGCTCAGACTGGGAATTGGCGATGCCTGCACCTGAGAATCTGGACATCAGTACTGACGAGACTGCTGCTCTTCAGAGACTGTGCATCACCGATCACCCTGAGCGCGCACACGTGAACGCAGAGCACAGAGAAGCAGTCAGAGCTACAGGCTACAGTGAGGCTAAAAACAGAGTTCATATGACGTTTTTCAAAACAACTTTTAATGTAGAGGCTACAGAACACTTGGATCACTAAGGATGAGCAAAATGGAGATAATTTGTGGATTAAATTTTGTGTTCTTGGATGTTAGTCTGGGGCGCTGCCTGCCATTAGGTGTGCTAGCCACTCCCCCTGCTGATCTCCGCAAGGGATGTGAGGACTCTAAAACTTCACCAGGGCCTCCATTGGCATATGGGTGAGTAGATAATGGCTGAATTTTCATTTTTGGTTGCACTATCCCTTTAAGATTGATGTTAAAATTATAACCCAAATTGCCTGTTGTGAACGTCTTTCAGACTTTGAGAGCAAATGAAAAAATTGATGTTATACCATATTATAACAGATATTTTATGTGTGATATGATTAAGTTAAAGGGGACTTGTTTAATATTGTTGACCCGTGTACAGCATTTTAACCTTATTCCCTGAATTTCAGCAATTAAAGCAAAGACGAGTAAAATACCAGTGGTGGCAAAACTACAACATGACACCCAAACTGTAGACACACAGCATTTCCCTCTAAATGGGTACAACTGTATGATGTCATCTTACTGGTGTCCAGCCTGTGCTGAGTTTCTTGTTTCTCTTGACTGACTTGCTGGATGGTTCTGGTCAGGTCTACTCCCTGGAGTTTGGCTGCCTGCTGAGCTATTTTCCTCTCCAACTCTTTAAGGTCCATCTGGAAAGAAAAATACAGTGAGGTAATGAACAACATGGAAAAAGGAGATGTATATAAATTTCTAGGGATATGTAAAGTCTTGTGATGTTTCTTTCGTTTTTTTGCTGCTGTTTGTGAGTTTGATATAATTAAAACTGACAAGAAAAGAAAGAGCCTCATAGTTTATATCTGGGGAATATGCAGATGGACTCGGGCGGAAAGACAGAAGGATGGAGGATGGTACCAGGTATCTGTCCATTAGAGATATGTCCTGCAGGCAGGCCTTGGCTGTGTCCTCCTCTGACATCAGGGTGCCAAGCAGCGTCTCCTGCTCCTCCACGTCGCCCTTCAGCCTCTCTATGTCTCTGTTCACAGTCTGCAGGCGGTTTCTCAACTCAGGCAACTCTTTTTCCTGAAGCTGTACAATGGACTGCCTGGAAGGCATGAACGAGAACAGAAAGACAATTAGCGATACTGTTCTAAATAGAGCGGAGAATAAAGATGTGTGTTACATTTCTTTAGATACTGTCATCCAATATTCACTCTTATTTGACTTCCTGTTGTTACTCAGGGAACTGTTTTCTCTGAAGCTTCCTGTGGATTTATAAAAGGATGCCCACAAGTTATGGCAAAAGTTTCAGCACAACCAGATCATTTGAGAATTGTCTAGGATTTCAGGTCCTGAGGGTACGCTGAACCTAAAACGCTAAGAAAAGGTTTCATCGTAACCTGTTAACTAAGACACATTAAGACAAACAGTGAAGAATCCGTTGCGATGGGTGCTAAAACTTTGGTGATGTTTGTTTCCATAAGTCACTAAATTAGTAGATAATGATCGTTGTCTTTCTCGGGTTTTCGGATACACAGTAAATCAGTTAACAAAATCATGACAACCGAGAAATCCTAATCTGCTGATGACAGCCACAAAAGAAAGCTTGAGTGAAAACAAGTGGATCTTGTTGAAACGTTAGATATAAAGGTTATTTTTAAAAACAAAAAAAAGAGGCTGGTGCGTCTTTTCTCTCTCAAAGGTAGGGTTCTGCTCAGGTCAGTAAAAGACAGCGGAGAGAACTACAGATAAAATCTCAATCATATGACAATCTGGCTCCATCTAGTGGACTAAAACATGCACTTCACTCTTTAACAAACGTGAGTAGAAACAGGACAAGGACTTTTTGTTCTTCATGGTGTAAATATATGAAATCAAATCAAGGGGAATATGAATAACTGAATGAAAACACAGATACTCAATTTGCAAGAGAGTAGGCTATGAAATAAGGAAAACTATGAAAATAAATTCTGAGTTACCCAAGTGACAGTAGCAGACTTATTCTGATACCAAACACAACTTTATTCTTAAAATTCTATATTTGTCCTTCATGTTTTTTTGATGGTCATTTATTTATTTCATGATTCATATTCAGTATAACAATCTTGTGCTACACAGCCCCAGTGGGCTGCTGAGAACTCATCCTCCTTTCTCTACATGCCAGACTGCTTGAATGAACACAGCTGAATATCTATTTTTAGTGTGACAAGCGAGTCTATAGTCTGTTGTTTGTGTGTGTGTGTGTGTGTGTGTGTGTGTGTGTGTATGATTGGGTGACTGAATGAATACATCAGGGATTTTTTTGACAATTTTAGTAGCCTGCTTTAAATGGTCTTGATCATGAGTAATTCATGTAGTCTAGTGCAAGACATTCAAATGAGGAACTGTATCCACTAATGAAGATGACGCTTGAGCTGATTTGGTTTTTGTTTATGGACACAACAGAAGAAAGGCAACCCTGAACACACCTGACATGTCTGAGCCTTCATTAGAGTGCATATAAAGTCAGTGAATCCTTGTTGTAGTGCCACTACAATGTCTATATTCCTTTTTTAAGTGTGAGAAGTAACAGAATGATTGATAGTCCTGTACACCTGTTGCACCATTACACAATCTCCAAAAAGCCAGCTTTCTCCATACCTGACAGGTCTGAGCGCCAACATCTCATCTCTCTTCCTCTCCTTCCTCTTCAGGTCCTGCTCTGTGTTTTTCAGCTTGTCTGGCACCAGGCGCAGCTTGGACTGCATGTCACTGATAACTTCCTGCAGATCAGACTCTGAGGGGAATGTCCGCTGACACACGGGGCAGCAGGGCTCTCTCTCCTCTGTCAGCTGGCTGATGAACTGGGTGTAAACTGCTGTGGCTCCGGCTAGCATGGCTATAAAAACACAGGTGGAGGGAGAGAGAATAAATTCATAATATCCTAATCTATGCTACTTCTATCACTTGGACTATGGGGTTAAAATGAGCACATACATGAGTTCAACTGCCACTGTGTCTGATACACAGTACAGTTATCTGCTCTTTGGTTGTTTTACTCCAAGCATAGAGACCAATAGTAAAACTGGTAGTGTCTGTACCTTTATCACTGACAGGTACAGTGTCACATTAATGTACCGCACATCAAATGGCAAGCATTGCATTGTGGTATGTTGAGTAAAAAGCGGTGCACATACTTGGCTTGTTCATCATTCATTCATTTGTTTGTTTGCTGGTTTTTCTTTCACTTCTCTGTATGAAGGGCTTCTCCAGGTCTAGACTATTGTTTGCGTCTATGTCAGGAAGTTACTTCTTATTTCTCTTTTGGATAATTCACCTCTTTGCTTGGAGATCTTCTCCAGATCGTCTCCCAGTTTGCTCAGGTCCTGCTCCAGATCCTGACTGCCACACACATTGAAGAACTTCTCTTCGTCGCCGGTTACCTGTTGCTCTTTCTTCCGTAGCTCAGCAGCGATGTGGCTTTTATTCTGCTCACTTGATGCCAGGTCCTTGCTGAAAGATTTTAAAATCAAGACATTGTTCAGGTCAGTGTCACAGGAAGTGATCTTTTTCTCATATTTCTTTTTATTATGTCTGAGCTTGAATGTAAATAAGGCTTACTGACTTGAGTTTGGCGAGTCTATCCCTGGTGCTGTTGATTTCCTTAGACTTGGAATAGATCCAGTCCTCCAGCTCTCTCTTCTTGGGGAAGTGACCCAGCAATGACACCAGATCCTCGCTGTGACGAGACTTGATCTTACGAACCTGCTCTTCCTTCTCCGTCTGGACGAGCAAAAGAGAAAAGATGAGAATAGGAAATGACAGGAGCCGGTGAGGAAGAAGGTGGACATATTCACAGTGCAAGAGGCTCAAGTCTGAGACTAGAAAGGGGGAGAATGTTTCACACCAGTTGCCTTCCAGTGGTTACACATTACCTTGTCTTTATTCAGCATGTCCATCTGCGTGCGGGCGGTGGTGTGTGTGTTGAGCATTCCCATCTCTTGGTCAAGCTGCCTCTGTGTGCGGTCAAGCTCAGCCTTTTCTCTCTGTAGCTCCACAACCTCGGCCTTCAGCTCATCCACGTTAGAGCTCTGAACTGCGCTCTGCAGCTCACGCTCCTGAAGAGGAAACACACACAAACAGAAAGAGATGCTATTGAACTGCCAAATCTGTTTCAACAAACAAGAAAACAATAAACTTAAACAAAACAACAGACACACTTTTACACACACTTTACACTGTGTGTATACTCACTGCTTTGGCCAGTTCATTCTCCAGCTCCTGCAGTCGGCTAGATGAACCCTCGAGCCTCTGCAGCTCTGCCCTGATGTTCCTCAGTTCTTGCTGCTTCTTTCCCTGCAGGTCCCTCTTCAACTCCACGGTTCTCTCCAGGCCGGTCTTCTTATCCCTCATTTCATCAATGGACTGCTGCTTCTGCTGCTCCTTTTCCTGCAGGTCCGCCTGAGTGGACAGAATAATAAAAGGAGGCATCAGGCACTACTGAATAGCTCATTTATTTACTCCATGTCTGTGGTATAAAATATTATGAACAGCATTGAGAAGAGAAGTGCTGTGACTTTTTTTTGTTGTTTTCAGAAATTAAACTAAAGCTTTTCTTACCATAACCTGAGAGAGTGTCTGTTTTTCCTGCTCCAGTCTCTGTGTGACGTGACGATTGAAGCTCTCAAGCTGAAGAGTGGAGAAGGGTGGGCGGTCGTAACCCTCCATGTCCAGATAGGACGACAAAGAGCGAACCTAAGAAAGAAATATGTAAGCACTTATATCAAACATGGTTCAAAATCTTTAGGTGCAGTCATTTTTAGGTATCAAGTGTCATTTTCAACATACTGCAAAAGTTTTTGTGTCTTTGTACATGGAAAAATATTAAGTTGTTACTGTACATGGTTACAGAAATGAAGGGACCCTTTGTTAAGCTGACAGGCAGGCTGTGTGTGTGGGCTTGACTTGCTCCTTACATTACATTACATTCATTTGGCAGTTACTTTTGTCCAAACAGACAGACAACCAGTGTTGGACTCATTACTCTAAAAATGTAATGTATTACTCAGTACACTTTTCAACAATGACATTACTTTACTTATCATTCCCCGCGAACAGTAATTTACTACTCGTTGTATTACTTTTTCACACCCCATAACACTGGCTATTGCGCATCTCCCCAAAATTCAGACGTGTGCCTCTGTGTGAATGTCAGGGTAACTGCTGTTAAGAGTAGCTAAGGCTAAATAGCTTCTTTTTTTTGACCTGGGGGTTTTGTGCTGCCTGTGACCGGTATTTTCCCAAGGCTCTGCCCGAAAGACTGAGGGTCACTTGTGGAGCAACATTTCATCTACCACATACCCAGCCACAGGCTTCATTACTTCTTCGTAGCCTGCAGCTGTCCTTGAGTAAAATCTGGGGTGTATTTCCTGGAGCTACAAGGGGTTGTGCTGTTGTAGTAGCCGAGGTGTTTCAGACAGGAGGTTTGAGGACGTGTTTTTTGCAGTGGAAAGAGTTTTAGTCCGACTACATGCAGCAACAGTGTTTTTGTCATCTTTCCTCCTGACAAAATCAAAGTGATGAAAACATTTCCAGCTGCGAAGGTAAGTGTTTCCAACTAGCTCGCTGCTTCGAGATGTTTAAAGAAATGAGTTTGCAGATGTGATGTTGTATTTCAGGTACTGTAAGTAGTGATGTGATATTAAATGCAGCGTTGTAACGAGTTGTTTGGTTTTGGGCTAACTGTCATATTAGTAATTAGATACACTACTTATCACTGGATGCATTACTGCCCAACACTGTTTACAACAATTGCATTCGACCTCTATGGGAATAACAGCTAGACGTCATCAAAAATGTAAGTGCATCCCTTTCAAACACTAAGAGTGTGTTCAGTGTTGCAGTACGAGAGCATGGAGGCACCTGAGTATCGCGGTTCTTGATATGTTGAGTGTGGCGATCAGCCTCCAGCTGCAGACGACCTGGGAACAGAGACAAGATTTCAGCAGCTAAGTTAGTCTGAAGGAAACATCCCTCTTCATTCCTACTGTCTATCCATCCATCCTTGTATCTATCACCAACATTTTTTTGTGCTTTATTCCTTAAGAGAATAACAGAGTATTCCATTGCACTCACAAACAATCAAGAATAAGACACATTCACTTATATATGGGTGTAAGGTCTGCTTAGAAATTCAGACAAAATGCTATTTTGGACAACGTTTTCAGACCTTTATAAGAGTGTTACATGTGTGCAGGTGTGTGTACCTTGTTCTACCAGGAGATCGGCCTTGACTCTGTTGAGTCTCTGACACTCCCGACCGGCTCTCTCCAGCTCCTTCTGGCAGTCTGTCAGCCTCCGCTCCTTCTCCCTCACCGTCCTCTGGTGGTTCTGGTAAATCTCCTGCAGCTGCTCATCTGAACCCTGGAACACCTGCCACATACACAGTTCACTGGGTTAGAGTGGCTCAGAAGCTCAATGACTACAACTTAGCAAAGTGACAGGGTCAGAGGTTTGAGCCCTGGGCAATGGATTTTTGAAAATGAGCTGGATGAAAGACACAGCATATTGACACTTCAGGAGTAACAATGTCACACAGTCACAGCATTACATTATTATTACATTATGAAAAGGTGGAAATGCCAAAAAATGATCAGCCTCTTTGCGACCAAAAGCAAATGGTAACTGTGGTCATAATTTTGACATAAACAAAATGTATATCAATCACACAAAGCACCTTAAATTCCCTACGAAGTCATGCTAACACACTGACAAAACAACACATGCCAACACATAGAAAATAGGGTGCTCAGTTTCTGGCACTTTCCCAGTCTCAAACAAAAGCAAACTCTCTTCAGATGCAGACACAAACACGACTGAGAGGCATCAAACAGATGGAACAAAAAGATTTCTGGTTCCTGTAAGGCAGACGAGCAGAAACATCCATCAGTTGTAAAAGACATTCATATCAATACAGACCAGTGATGAACCTCCTTGTCATTACAGAATTACAACAACCTCATTGGCCATCTGCAGTCTTTCTGCTAGCTTCCCATTTAGGTTAATGATACTTATAGAGCGGTGTCTGGAGAATCATTAAGCGGGTGTTTAGCTGAACAAACCCTCATGTCAGAGAGACAAATAGGAAGACTTGCTGTGTTTTCCTCTTTTTAAACTCGTCATCCCCGTTCATGCATTTCATTTTCTATCTCATTTCTTTTAATCCATCCTCTATTATCTTCCAAGCATCTTGTCAGGTTTCCCAAAACATTTTAGCCAATGTGCTGCCTCCACAATTAGTGGTATGTGAGCATTGATTTTAGTGCTGGAACCAGTTTCCTCTCATTCTTAATTAGTCATTTCTGTCTCTCATTCCTTAATGAGCTTATCCATTTTTACATCATAACAGTAACATGTGTATGTCAATGTTTACATGTGTATATGACATATTTTATGGTACCTGTTCCATTGTTTCCTCCAACTCCTTGTTGTCCTCCTCCATCTGTTTCTTCCTGCTGTCTAAAGCCTTGATGTCGTTGTCCAGCTTCATCACTTTCCCCAGTTTCATGTCGATATCGGTCAGTCGATTCTGAAAAATGTTAATAAAAGTTAATGAGCTACTGGTAGACATCAGACATGCTTACAACTGTAAACGTACTCTATGTTTAGCTTATATGCAGCTGCTGGGCTCTGTACAGTAGTTGACCAAATACCTTCACCTCTCTTTTTAGGACATGCAAAGCTAAAATAAGTACCTAACATACAGTACATGTAGATTTTTTTTTCCCAGAGTGATACCAATATCTAGTGCTCCAACTCGTATTTGATTAATCTATTTGTTGAATGACTTTGATTACAATTATTAATGAAATACTATCGTCAAATATCTTAAAGGGATAGTGCACCAAAAAATGAAAATTCAGCCATTATCTACTCACCCATATGCCGATGGAGGCCCTGGTGAAGTTTTAGAGTCCTCACATCCCTTGCGGAGATCGGCGGGGGGAGCAGCTAGCACACCTAATGGTTGACGGCGCCCCAGACTAACGTCCAAGAACACAAAATTGAATCCACAAAATATCTCCAACATGCCCATCCGTAGTGATCCAAGTGTCCTGAAGCCCCGACATAAAAAGTTGTTTTGAAAAACATCATATGAACTCTGTTTTTATCCTCACTGTAGCCTGTAGCTCTGACTGCTTCTCTGTGCTCTGCGTTCACATGTGTGCGCTCAGGGTGATCAGTGATGCACGGTCTCTGAAGAGCAGCAGTCTTGTCAGTTCTGATGTCCAGATTCTCAAGTGCAGGCATCGCCAATTCCCAGTCTGAGCAGCAAAGACTTTCCTCATCCGTTGGCATTGCTTTGCATTTGAAACAACTACACCACCAGGTTTCCAGTGCTCGACTCCGGTATTCTGCGGCTGGCTGAGGGTTAGGCTCATGAGCTGCGGCGGCTGCTTCGTCCAGTAGCCTGAGTTCCACGTCTGTATACTCGGGCTCAAACAAATACGGCTCAACAAAGAAATGCTGTTCCTCCTCAATTTCAAAGTCTTCAGACATGTTGGGCTGTCCTTTGCTAAAAGACCATAGTGCAAATTATCTTTTAGCTACTGTGGTTACTGTTGTCTCCCCCTGCGGTGCACGCGTCACGTGATGTAAACACAGGTAAGCAAAGCTCATGCTTTCGCTGGTCTCGCGCAAGCGCGCACACGTGAGCGCAGAGCACAGAGAAGCAGTCAGAGCTACAGGCTACAGTGAGGCTAAAAACAGAGTTCATATGACGTTTTTCGAAACAACTTTTTATGTCGGGGCTTCAGGACACTTGGATCACTACGGATGGGCATGTTGGAGATATTTTGTGGTTTCAATTTTGTGTTCTTGGACGTTAGTCTGGGGCGCCGTCAGCCATTAGGTGTGCTAGCGCTGCCCCCGCCGATCTCCGCAAGGGATGTGAGGACTCTAAAACTTCACCTGAGTCTCCGTCGGCATATGGGTGAGTAGATAATGGCTGAATTTTCATTTTTGGGTGCACTATCCCTTTAAATGCTTGTTAGGTCAAATACTATATATTTGCTGATTACAGCTGTTAAGTGTAAACACTAACTTTTTCTCTCTGTCACATCAATAACTTGACTTGTGATGGCAATTAATAGCGTATTAATACTCAAAAAATGCTGAAAATGACAGTTAGTTACAACCGTCTACATCAGTATTTTGATATACATATCAATATGCTTTGTTGTAAGAATCTCCTCAAAAACAAATGTGTAAAACAACTTGCTCTCATGTCAGACATGGCCACAGATCCAGTTATTTAAGCTCGTAACATGACTGACAATTAACTATGAAACACTGTGTTAGCAGTGAAATAACTAGATCAACACAAGTGGTCTATTTATCAACGCACCCCTAAACGTGCTTCATACAAAGAAAAATAGTTTATGAAACAATACAGATAATTAAAGAGTATCTGTCATCTTACACTGATAAAAATATCTGAGCAAACTAATAGTGTTAGAACACTTCATCAGTTTTACATTTGAGAACTAGAACTATGTAAAAAAAATAATCTCTGTCCGATAACATCATCTGTTGGCTTTGCCTTGAAACGTGTGTATAAACACACACACACACACACACACACACACACACACACACACACACACACACAAACATCCATCCTCAACAAACCTCCAGTGGATCAATCTGGCTCTCTATCTGCTGGATGCTGTCCCTAGAGGCCGTCAGCTGAGCCTCCTTGGTGGCCACGGTCTCTCTGATCTGCTGGGCTTTCTCTTTGTTCTGCTTCAGGTAGCGCAGCTCCACCTGACACTCTTTGACTGTATGACTCTGTTTGAGACGCAACTGACGCATCGTCTCTAAAGCTTTGATATACCTGGAGAAACACAAAGCATAGGGATACAGAATTTCTCTTATAATATGCGGGTCAGTATGTTTGCGTCTGAATCATTTTACGTAATGTGATGCTTTACGTTAAAAGAACTGAATAAAAATGTAAGAATGAGTGGTCTTTACTTAGTCGCAGCGAAGATGGAGTCAAATTTATCTTTGAGTGCTTTGCCCTCGCTGAGGGGCCAGTTAGAATCTTCTTGGTGACAAAAGATGACATGGTTCAGCACAGGCTTCGACACACCCAGTGAAGAAATCATCTCCCGATCCAGTTCGCCGCATTTTGATGACAAGCTCACCTTCTCACCGTCTCTGGATGAATGATGATGGAGGTCACATGTAAAGAAAGGGGTCATGTAACATTAACATCACTTCAAAAATAAATGAATAAATAAATCCTCTCAATAGTCAACAAAAAATGAGTTAAGAAACTTGTGACTGTGGCTTACTTCATTCTAGTGATGACCTGCTCCAAGCTTTTGAAGGAGTAGTTCTTTGCCTTCTGAGTGCAGGACATGGAGCGTTGGATAGTCACTTTCTCTCCATTGACGTCACTGAATAAGAGCCGAATCTGTGCTCTCACATCTGTCTCATGGGCATCCTGGAATTCACACAGCATGAATTGACATTAACAAAGATAGCCTCAGTAATCAATCTCTGACAGGGACTAGAGACAGGGACTGTTATGAGGTTAGGATTAAAATAGTAGGGACAAGATAAACGCATATAAATTAGCTTGCTGTAATAATAAAGCCATCACAAATTGGCTCGAAACATCCAACAAGTCATAGTAAATCTTACAAGTCATTCATTGCATTGTTTTAAGTGAGTATTCTGTCTCTGGTATGAGGCTGATCACTTTCATAATCTGGCTATTAAATGACAGGACAGCTGGGTAGATTCAAATAATTTAATTCATAAAATATTTGTTCTTTTTATTACATCATTTTTCATGTTACTGTAGTTGCTTTCAGACCTAGAGTTCATTTGCTTTGGTCCAAATCAGGGACTCATTTTGTTACAGAGTTGCATAATTGCCTAGAGTTGGTTCGTGTTCTCACAGCAGCATTTACAAGCGGACCAGAGTAAATGCCTTGTGCGAGGAAGCTGCTCTTGATTGGTCAGAATTTCCATGCCTGAAAAATCCAGGAAGTAAACAAAATGTTGAAGAAGAGTACACTTGCAAGATAAATGTGACACTTTCTAATGTCACAGTGGAGGGACAACTACGCAGGTTGATTTTAGCGCTGCTCATCGTGGACTATATTGCTGTCATTGTTCATTTTAGTCAAACCATACAGTTTGAAAACGAGGAGCGGCTCCAACTAGAAAACAATGTTTTGATGCACTGGATGTGCTGAATGTGCATATTAAGCCAGTACAGGAGGAGGTGCACATTAATAATCCTCCAGGACTGTAACATGCTCATGTTTAACCCCAACAACGTGTTGGTGTTGGTTCAGACCGAGGTCGGAACACGTTCTCACCACAAACGAACCGCACCAGAGTTTGTTTGTAACCGGACTGAGACCACCTCTTTGAGAGGGTCTCGGTCCGGTTGTTTTGGTGCACACTGAGTGCGGTTGCTGTGATCACACGAAAAATTATCTAAAATTAACCCTTTAACACATGAGACAACACAATCATGTGAGGAATTTGCAAACAGACCACTGTGGACTGGTGTGCACTGTAGTAAGTAAGTGCAATAAAGTACAAGAGAGAAAGCTCACCCTTGGATCGTGAACAAATGCACCTCCTTTAGATCCAGGGGGAAGTTCTCCTGATGTTGCATACCTAAGGCACTCAATAATAGTCTGGAAACAGAAAAGAAGAGGGTCATATGAATACACAAGAGTTGCAGTTATCATTTGTAAATATTTGCTACTAGAAAAATATGGGAAAAAAAGGGCACAAATCACCAGACCAGAGCATAACCCCTATGTACACTGTCAACTTCCTTGTTCATTCTCAACAGGTCATGCTTTATAGTCAGCCTTTACTCTCCTCCAGACATGTTCTCATACCGTTTTCCCTGCTCCGTTGGGTCCAACCAGTACAGTCAGTGGAGTGAAGAAAGAGATGACTTGTTTGTCTTTATCCTCAATCCCAAAACTCCTCACCCCAAGGATGCTCATCTTGTCTATCTTTGACATTTTTACTTTCTGAAAAATAAGGAGAAAGAGAACACATGACATAAACCAACAAGCTAGACCAAGCCACAAAGCATTTGACTGTGGGATCAATTAAAGAGCCTGAATATTGTTGCAAAAATGGGCATGACAGTAAATCACACAATATATCAATGTACTGACAAAGAAAAGTGATCAAAACCTCCAGCTGTGGTGCATTTACAATCATAGAATATTCAACAGGGGGACACCAACTGATTATCAAACAATTTGGTACTTTTTTTTTGCCTCAAATTAGATTACTTAGTCAAACTATGCAAAAACATTGTATTTGCGCAAGAGCTCCACAATGTGAACACATACAGTCAACAGTTAAACTCATCCTGAATTGATATATACATACACATAAATCATAATAAGTGCAACAGTGTGGCTTTGTAAGTGGTTTTAATAGTTTTGGACACCATTTAGGGGTATAGCACAGAGCAATAAGCATTACCAGGCTTTGAATACACAGGCAGTGCTTGTTTATGATGCATTCACTGTTGGTTTTGGTCTTTTCAAGGAGTTTGGTGACAACATCCGTGTGGCTGGGATGCCCGGGAAGCTAACATTACACATGGCTACCAACTCAGCAGGCTAACGTTAGCTAGCAACATCAGTTGTGCAGTTTGACAGTTAGCGCCAGCGACTCACTGTCAAACAGAGTGCGATAAAACAAGGCTGCTTCCCGCTACTTGCAGTACTCTCTAGTCGCGTGAATGCTCTGAATAAAACCCACCTTTGAGTTTTGTTTTGGTCCAGACGTGAAAGTACAGTTTTAGCGCTGTGGGGAATGTGACGTAAAAAGCGCCGACTTCTGACTTCCGGGAGTGGGAGCGTGATATAGAATACAAACATATAGAGCGGCAATTCACACTCTAATATGCTGCTTTATGTCACCGTGTCTTTGCATTGTCGATAAATGAAATACATGTTGATTTACACGATTTACTCATAAGCAAAAAGAGTAATTTTAACTACACTAAAGGACTGAATTGCCGATATACGGCTACAAGAGCTTTATCTATTCATTCTATTTCTATGACCAGGGGTCAGCTCAGTTCTCTTCTGTGTTGACCGGCAAACTCCATCTAGGGAGTTATTTCTAATGAATTGATGAGACTTATCAAGTAATTTAGAAGTATAGAAGAAAAATGCTACTGTCTCTTTCACTCTTTTTGTTATCTGTTTTGTTACAAATCTATACATACTCAGATATATAATAATATTACCTATATTATATATATGAAGCCTTTTTGGACCATTTTCTGCCCCATATCCTTGTAAGACTTGTATGCTGTCCCTAAAAGCCTATCATATCCTGATCATATCCCGTTTTTCATCCTCAAATTGACATTTCAAATATATTTTCAGCTTTAATTGTTATTATTATTATTATTATTATCATTTTTTATTATTATTTATTTTTAAATATATATTGGTCTTTGTTGTCAGCAAATCCCATAAAAGAACAAAAGCCACAATGCATTAGTCCAGCTCTCAATTCTTTATGACTTCCATACACTGTGGCACTCACCGTCAATCCCGCTGGGTCCTTTTAATGATGCAAATGTAATTTTTTTTAAAAAATAGTCTCAAACATTAGGGGTGTAACGATACATCGATCCACATTGATACATCGATTCATTGATTAACGATCCGATTATATCGATGCAAAATGAAAACATCAATCCATATCATCATCTTAAAGATACACATTTATTTTGAAATTCACATAGCACGTCTGTGTCACCATTTCTGGGCAAGCGTGCCTCTGCTCAAACAACAAACAGAGCTCAGAAATAAAATGGTCAAATCATGTTCTAATTGTTTTTGTGAGTTGATGTAAATGATTGTGTTAGATGGGCATATGATATCACGTCATATCGATCACAGGCTCCTGAATCGAATCGAATCAAAATCGTGTTGTGACAGACTTTGTGATATCAGCAAACATCGAATTGTCATCCAAACAAATCAATAAAATATTGTATCGTGATGAAGCTGGTGATTTACACCCCTATCAAACATATAGTTTTAGCAGATGGTACTGAAACAGGAGTGCATTTTGTCGGGGACTATTTTTAGCAGAGGATTAATATACAGTTGAAGTGCTAATGAGTATTTTAAGGGTGTGGTATGTGGGATAAATTCAAAATAAACTGTAGTGCCCATGTTCATTATGATGAAACAAGATACCACTGTGTTAAAAAGGATTAAAGAAGGGTGAATGAAAAAAATATAATTTATTGCATCGGTGCAATAAATTATATTTTTTTTCTGCAAAGAGTCCTGCAGTGTTGTGAGTCATTCATTCATTGCCTTTGGTTTGATTTTTAAAAAAAGGATTATCCTACAAAACACTTTTGCCCTGTCTTACAACCTACACTGTTTGTGAATCACCTTCATTGTATTTATAGTTTTTAATGCAACATAGTAAACTGACAGTTGTCTGTTTATGTACTTTATAGCTGGCATATACGTGCAGCATGCATGTTCATAATCCAGAACTGATTTTAACCGACTCCAACCTCTGCATGTTCTCATTCAGGTAGGCCTATGTTTATGTTTCCAACAATCTCTCATCAGAACATTTACCACAAGAGGACAGTGTTTCCCTGTGGAAAGGCCATTGCTGCCAAATCCCACAGATAGTCTTTCTCTCCTCTCCTCTCCTCTCCTCTCCTCTCCTCTCCTCTTCTTATTTTGCTAGGCACTACCAGCAATAAAAGGGGAGTGCTGTGATGATGCTGTTGGCCATTGCAGTATGTCGGTTATAAGAGATCATTCACATGCAGAAGAGATCTGTTTATTTCTGTATATTTCAAAAAATTATATTGTAAATTCCAATAAATAGCAAGCCCCAAATGTAGAAATTGTACAGTGCAAAGTGGTGTTAATTTTCTTTAAACTTTAAAATTCATTCAGGAATCATCTCTGTTTTTAAACAAATTGTCCTGCGTTTTTTTCCCACATCACAGTGCCTGAGCAAAAAAAACAGAATAAAAAACAGATGGTACGAACATAAAACTTGCAAACCAGCTGAGACTGTGCGTGTATGTGCATGTGAGAAAGGAGGGGAGAGACGAAATCTAATTGGGATAAAGGGACATGAGTTATTTTGGGCCTGTGTTTAGGGTATGAAGAACAGTTTGCGGACGTCCACAGGGACCTGCAGGACTGGTGTTCACGACCTGCAGCTAACCCCCTAAAAACCTGAGAACATCATCTCTCCGACTTCCTCTCTGTTCTCTCCCCCTTGAAAGAACACACATGCACACACACAAACACACACACACACACACACACACACATACACACACTCCCACAAACCGCCTTCTGCTTTCAGCCCACTGATTCAGTCTGTCTGTGTTATCAGCCCACTGACTCATTGTGCCTCAGTCTGTCCAGCTCATGGCCCTATTTCTATTTTCATCCTGTCCCAACATGAAAATGTCATGACCTTGTGTGTTGTGTTGGACCACTGGAGGTATATGTGTATGTGTGTGTTATTATGTTTATGTGTTTGAGTGTGAAAGCCTAATCCCACATGCCCGCGGTCACCCTCCCTGTCTAAATGGCTAATGGAATTGGTTTACTTGGCGTTTTTGATAATCACACAGACGAATCGGGAACCAGCTGGTTCTCCGCCGCTTATCATCAACACATGGTGGGAGAGCACTTAAGGATAGAGGAGAGAGAAAAAACTGAGGGGGCTCAAAGGAGCAAAGGGAAGAAGTTAGAAGGGAAACAATGCAACAAAGCTATATTTCTCTTCTAAATAAATAAATGAGATGTTGTGGACTGACAGCCAACAGCACTCATCAGTGGCGGACCCAGAAGCAGAACAGACAGTTTTACCTTTCACTGAACTGTCTGTTTTTTGACATTTTACAAACTCCTTTCACAAATATAGCAGCAATATTATATTCAATATTTTATTTAATCCCGAGGGACTGTTTTGATGGCAAACTGGGCTCATGCAGCCCATCTCTGGAAAACATCTCTAGACAGAGAAAGAGAGAGAGATGATATAAAAGATGAGGAAAATGATCAGTGATGGTGCATTACAAGGTGCATCCTGGGTTTGACTGCTGTGTGATGGATTGAAATTATACATTACGTGGCAAATTATACATGTCACAGCAAATAATCCTTGAAAGTGATTCTTTTTTTCTTTCTTCAACAATCAGCAGTTTCCTGGAAGTAGTTTCTACCCCACTGAGAGCTCTGAGTAGGGCCCATTTCAGCCAGTGGCCGTAAGATGGTTCCAAGCCGAAAATAGAGACGGGCTGAGTTCTGAAAAGCAGCGTTTTGCCCTCATCTCCCCAGCATCCAATGAATAGTGACTTGTCTTCTTCTTGCCACCCCCAGCCTTGCTTCCGCTGCAGTTTCTTTTTACATCCATTTCCTGTGTTGTGGGACAACAAAGCTGAAATCCCTTCAACAAAAACCAAGAAGAAAAAGAGAGGGAGGACTCGTGGCATTTCCATTGAATCTCACTAGTGCAATTCCTGTGGAATATATATGCACAGGCCTACATCTGTGTGAGTCATCTCCCAGCAAGATATCTACAGTACACAGTGCTGTCATGAGAAGTTATTTTTTATGGTGTGACTGTGATTTTACACTGTCAGAGGGACATTTACATCTGTTTGAGTTCACATTTATGCCCAGGGCTTTACAGTATAATCACTGAAACGTCTTAATGTCTATTTCCCTCCTTTTTGATTTTGAAGTCCTGCTGGTCGTGCATATCTTGCAAAGCACCTCTCACACAGTCAGGATTTGTCAAAATGAGTTAAACTTTGAGGGGAGGAGGTTGTCTCCTTCAAAAAGAGCTTGATAGATTTCAGTTTAGGAGGGGAAGTAATAAGAACAGAACAGGAAAAAAAATGCCTTTAACTTTTCTTGCTACATATACTCCTGTATGTAGCAAGATAAACTAAAAGCAATTTGACAAGGCGCAGTTGGGGGGAGGAAGGGGTCCAGTTTGGGGACCTCAGAAATGCATCTCTGCTTTTTGCAGATGATGTGGTTGTGTTGGCTTCATCACAAAGTGACCTCCAGCATGCACTGGGGCAGTTTGCAGCCGAGTGTGAAGTGGCCGGGATGAGAGTCAGCACCTCAGAATCTGAGGCTATATATAGTTCTCTGCCGGAAACCGGTGGACTGCCCACTCCGGACTGGGAGAGAGTTACTGCCTCAAGTGAGGGATCTCAAATATATAGGGGTCTTGTTCACGCGTGAGGGTAGAATAGAACGTTAGAACATCTGCAGTGATGTGGACGCTGCGCCGGACTGTCATGGTGAAGAGGGAGTTGAGCCTGAAGGCAAAGCTTTTCGATTTACTGCTCCATTTACTGTACGTCCCAACCCTCACCTATGGTCATTAGCTCTGGGTAGTGACCGATAGAATGAGATTGCAGATACAAGTGGACGACATGAGTTTCCTCTGTGGGGTGGCTGGGCTCAGCCTTAGACATAGGGTAAGGAGCTCGGACATCTGAAGGGAGCTCGGAGTAGAGCTGCTACATCCTTTGCGTCGAAAGTGGTCAGTTGAGGTGGTTAGGGCATCTGATTAGGATACCTCCTGGGCGCCTCCTGCTGGAGGTGTCCTGGGCACGTCCCATTGGTAGGAGGCCCTGGGGCAGACCCAGAACACACTGGAGGGATCTGGCCTGGGAAAGCCTTGGGGTCCCCCAGGAGGAGCTGGAAAGCGTTGCTGGGGAGAGGCATGTCTGGGGTGCTTTGCTTGGCCTGCTGCCCCTGCAAACCAGCCCCAGATAAGTGGATGAAAATGGAT